ATAAAAGATGTGAAAATGATATTTAATTGCACCTTTTAAATTACATATTAATTAACTAAACCAGGGCTGTCCAAACTCGGTCCTGGAGGGCCGGTGTCCTGCAGAGTTTAGCTCCAACACACCTGACTGGAAGTTTCTATGCATAGTAAGAGCTTGATTAGTTGGTTCAGGTGTGTTTAATTAGGGTTGGAGCTAAACTCTGCAGGACACCGGCCCTCCAGGACCGAGTTTGGACAGCCCTGAACTAAAGCATTAACTATTAGGTTATCTTGAAAAAATACAAAAACTCATACACCAAGTCCACCTTTGCTGTTGTCATATTACAAGACACTGTTTTAATTGTTTTGTTTGACACTGTTTTAATGTAATGTAATTTCATTTAGCTGACATTTTTGCACAGTTTGATCAATGAGTTACACATCTATAGCAAATATGCCATATTAGCCACAAAAATATTCTGTATACATTTTCATAATTTGAATTCAAAGTTTGTACGTAAAGCAGTGAAAGTGATATGGGATTGCATGTTCTTGTCCGTGGTGCTGAATGCATACATCATGAGTAGATACTGCAATTTAAGTACTTTTGGATTAAAATGATTTAATTCATATTTGAAAAAAAAGAACACGTTTGCTTCAAAGATCTTTATGAGATCCATTTAGTTCTTTATTGTATATTTTACTATCTGTCATGAATACACCCCCCTGGGATATTAGTGTAACTTAAACTTCATTATGGGGACATTATCTTCTGTATTAAAAGTACAGTGAAAAAGTGTGTTAGTTTCTCAGGAAATGTTTGACCACATAAATGTGAGCTCTGATGGGGCTCTGACTGATGTGTGTTGTATTTTTACTCTTGTAGGCTGAGCTTTGTGGCCTGAGATCATAGAACAAAAGCGAAACTGCATGTAGCAGCACATCTCTCTGCAAACGTGAAGCATCAAACAAAGTGGTTGATCATATTGTCTTGTGCCACATGTTTTGTTACCCAAACGAAAAGTGGAATAAAGACAATGGAAATAAAATCGTAATGAATTTACAAAATACACACAAAAAGTTATATGTAATTTCTATTTTTCTAATCATAACTGATGCAGTCAGGTGCTTTTGGTAATGGAAAATGTTTTGCTTACTGTTTGTGTGGTTTTGGCACAAAGGCATGAAAAGAGGTCATTATTGTGGGTTGGAAAGACTCAAACTATGATTAACAAATTTATGCAAATTATGCAAACAGTCTGAATGCCTCATACATTTGCTGCAGAAAAACAAACAACATATTGCTGCTATTATCACAGCAAATGACCTGACGCTGACTTCAGTTGGCTGCACACACTTGAAAGCTTGTTTAGTCCAGAATTAGTCTTATGGTTTTTGGGGTTTTAGCTTTATTTAATTTCAGTTAACATTTATTTTAATTAACATACTCTTTATAAATAACTTTTTCTTTAGTTTATGACAACAACACTGGTGTAAAATAAGGTCAAAACGAGCATGTTTAACAGAAATAATAAAGATCTCATAATCCTTAAGAAATCACCATCTCTGGACTGTTTCTTTAGTTCAGTTACAATCGCAGCTTTTATTTTAAAATAAATTCAAACTGTTCATTTTCATTTTTAAGCTAGTTTTAAATTTGGGTGTAATTGTAAATTAACCGAAGTGCAAAGTGAAGAGAAACCACGGTAAAGTTTCAGTGACACACCTCATTAAAGCTTTGTTTACCAAAATGCATGCAAATCACAACAGAAGCCATTGAGGACAAGCATTCTCTTGAATAACACCACACTCATATTAATGATTTTATATTTTAACTGTTATATTTACTATACTGAATAAAATGGTAACTTAAAAATGCCAGCATCTAAATTAACAGTTAAAAATAATAAATAAATAATTTAAAATCGCTGAATCAACCTATATACAATAATTTATAACAACAAACCTACAGAATAGCTATTTAAGATAAAAACTGCTGGTTACAGTCTATGTCAGCCTGCAAAATTATAGCCAAAATCATGATTTCAGAATTACAAAGCCATAATACAGCATTTATTACAGTACAGCTTATAATATACTAAATAAAATAGGGGGAAATGCAATCAAGAGACAGAATAATAATGAAAGTAAAACGTTTTTTTTTTTTTTGGTTTTCTGCTTGGTATGCTATAGGTGAGGATGTTGACAGCAGGTGACAATAAGTACCAGTAGGGGGCAGTATGTGATAATATTTTCCCTATATTCCTTTTTGATAATGCCACAACACTGTAACGCATTGTGTGTTAATCCAATATGAACTTCATAAGGTCATATTCTCTGTTACAATTCATATTTGAATGTGAGAACGATTAAACTCACAGACTGTTATAGAAAGAAATTTACATCTACGTTTTATTTTACGCTTGGTCTGTAACAGAAACATCACTGAGCTCTTTTAGTTTCCTAATACTGTGGCTCACTGCAATAAAGATTTATTGTTTGTGATCATCTCAACTTTGAAGTTAGAATGTTTTTGATTGTGAGGTCTGTTCTCAACCTCACAAGTGTGACTTTGCAATGGTGGGACTCCAGTCAGAGAGCGAGCAAAGAAGAGCATAATTTCCTGTAGAAACTGAGACAGGAAGAAGCCGCTCAGTACAAAGTGAGAACTGATGAGGTGACATTCTACCATAGGGCTGTAATAGAGAGCGGCCTCTTTTCTTGTGGTCTATAAGAGGTTAACATTTGAAAGTCTGTAAACATTTGAAAGTCTGTAGATAGTGGTCTGTAATAAACATTCAGAAAATGAATATATGATCATTTATTTGCATGTCTCAAAAGCATTTTATTCGTATCTCTTTTTATACTTTTTTATACTGCTAATGCACATTGCGTTATTACATGTCCAGAATCCATAATATTATTAAAAAAAAAAATTCTCAAACAATTCTTATGAGGTCTTTATGTTCTAAATGTTTCAAATTCTATGGGATGCATTTATCAGTGCAGAGTCTTATTTGTTTTAAAACTGCACACAGGACGCATACAGCAGGTCAGACAAAGGACTGATCAACTGTAACTCAGCAGAACTTTATGCATAAACATGTACATCAACATGTCAGAACAAATATTTCACTAAAATTTGTAATTATTTGTTTAAATTTAATTTAAAAAACCAACAGTAAACCGGGTAGGTTTTTTTTTCTTTAATTACACAGAAATGTTTGTCTGTTGAGAAGGATGTTTTTGTGGTTTTGATTCAGAAAGGGGCTTCAAAACAGAAGCAAGAGGTCAGTCCTGTGGTTGGAAAATGATCAAACCACAATGTGCGCAAGCAATGCATGCACAAAGGTACACATAGAAGTGCAAACAAACATCTCATGATCTCATCCTTTTATCTGTATATTGGTAATTTTCAATAATAATTGCAACAAATATTTAAGCAATCAAAAATAACTGTTAATACACTTTTTCTTTTAAAAACTCCTTTAAGAAACTCAGATTGTTTCTTTTAGAATTTTTTTTATCCAATTAAAAAAATTTGTTTCAAAATGTTTGTGCTGCCTTCAATTTTTACATTTACTCAACTTGTGAAGTATGAATGTGTTCATTGTATAATTGATGATTACATCAAAGTATGATTACATCAAATATTTTAATGATACAGTTCACTCAGGTAAATGTTAAAGCTGGTCCGCTGAAGTTCACATCAGCACTTCTCACTCTGTACTGAGCAGATTTTCTGTCATTTCTCTACAGGAAGTGATGCTGCTAACAAACTCTGTCTTCTGGTTGGAGCCCCAGTTGCTGTCACATCCTCTGCTTATGCATTGTTTGTGCAAGAACCTGTGGTTTGTGCTAAAACTTACCTTTTAAAAACAAATAAGATAATCTGTCTCATAATTATCATATATATGACTAACTGAGCTGTTTCGGGGGCTAATGATTTTACGTGTAGGTGAGATATTAATTTGCTTTTGAGGCTTAAAAAAAACATTAACCGCTTAAACTTGCCTGTGCAGCTGAGTCAAATAAGTATGGCAAACAAGATAAAAGTTTCAGTTTGACATCATAGCCATGTGCTTTCTGAAAATAAACCAATCATCAAAGTAAATAGCAAATTCCCCATGTAGTACATAACATTACTAAGATGAATCAAAAACTGATTACTAATTATTTAATAAATAAGAAGATTTCATGTTTTTTTGCACGACACAAAGTGTAAACTAAATCTGCTGTGTGAAAATGCAAATTAGTATTTGAATATCAGTGTTTAAAGACATTGTGGTACATTGTGGGGTTTTGTTTTGGGGGGGGGGGGG